ATAGATAGATAGATAGATAGATAGATAGATAGATAGATAGATAGATAAGAAAAAGAAGAGAAATGGATAAAGTTCTCATATCCTCCTTCACCACAACAGATGTCAGCAATTTTGGTAACTTATCACTTTCTCTCAAAATACAACAAATGATCTCTACTTCCCATATCCCTGACATATAAACAAACCCATAATTCATCATCATTTCAACCTTGATGCCTGCGAAAGAAGGAGGGAGGGAGGGAGGGAGGAATGAAAAAAAAAAGAAGACAGCCCCCTTGAAGAGTTCCAGAATGTCTCCTCCTCCCAGTCCCTGCTGAAGCCGCTCCCTGCTTCTCTGCCCTTCCTGGTTTCAAAAAAGCCATGCCTGGATAGACTGGTGAGCCTCTGGCTAGGAAACCCCCCTCTTAGCTGGGACCCCTCCCTACCGTGTCTCCTGTCTGCCAGATCGTTACGTCTCCCGGGAAAAGGAGCCGTTTCTTGCCGTCTGTCTCTTCCACTCCCCTGAGCGCAACTGCACGGCCTCCAAGGAGATCTCCCTGGAGGACATGAAGGAGGGGCCGCAGGGCGACCCACGGCGCTACACCATCTTTGTTCCCCCGGGGTGAGTGGGACCTCTGGGGCCACAGGGAGGAAGTGAGGTGGGAGGGCACCTGTTGTGGTGCATTTTTCTAGTGCTGCGAGGTCACTGATGGCCAATGCAGGAGATGCAAAAGAGTGGTGGGCGAGGAAGCTTTCTGCCCACCGTGGCCACGGCCTGCTAGATAAGTGGGTGCAAGTGAGCCACGTGGCCACTCTGTCCTGCCCCACCAGGTGACATGTTCCTTCTCTTGATTTAGGATTGCAGACACAGTGAGAGACCATCACTTGAACATCACCAACCACTTCGTGTGGTCCCCCGTGGAGGTGACTCTGGGTCTGTACAGCTCCCTGTGCCAGTATTTCAACACGGAAGAGGCCCGCTGGAAGACAGAGGGCATGGCTCCCTTGGAAGGGGCCACTCCGGAGAAGGCCCTGTGCTTAACCCAGCACCTGACAGCTTTCGGGGCGAGCCTCTTCGTCCCCCCGCACTCTGTGCAGTTCATAAAGCCAGTGAGTGAAGGGAGGGGAGCTTTGATGGATGCTCTCGGTGTTACGCACTGCTTCTGTTTTTAATTTGTTGTACCTTGGCGGTGGCTGCTGTTATTTTTGGATCAGAGAAACTCACTTCTCCTCTTGCATGAAAGTTGGCGGATGGGTCCGATCCTTCCTTAAAAGCCTTTTCCTGTGGAATGGGCGACCCAGCCGCAAATGGAAAGGTGGAATTTCTCCATCTGGTCACGTCAACCGAAACGGCTCAGAGGCCAAACCTAGAAGTACGGTGACCTCTGTTTTGGTCACAAGGGACAGCCCTTCATTTCAGGAAGCTGCCTTTTAAATGTCTTCATTTTTCAAAAACCTTTGCCCTTCCATCAGCTAACTTTTACTGCACAAATGGTCCTGCTTTAATGTACGGACTTTGGCGTCCATGTGAAAAATATGCAAAGTGAATGGTTTTTAAAATAAATTTACATATATTGTTTGATTTTAGCTATTTCTATTAGAATATGCTTTTTTATAAAAGTTTTTTTTTGCTCTTGAACTTTTCTTTATAAAGCAAATTTACAAATATTTAAAAATTATATATATGTATGTATGTATGTACGTATGTATGTAAGTATGTATGTATGGTATTCAGCTTTGTCCAGGTATTTTCCCACGTCATTATAGTTGTGCTTTTAAAGTTGTAGCGACGTTTCGGCAGAATCTCATCTGCCATCATCAGGCTTCTGTATTGTGTTCGTCTGTGAGTCAGACTTTCACAGCCGTTTCTGTTTTAAATTTGGTGCTAGCCATCTGCTGTGCCAGAATAGTTTTTTCTTCGTCCTGATTGGTTGGGAGTCTTGGTCTGTGTTTATTGGTCTTGGAGTTTGCTGTGTTGTACAAGTTTGCTACAACTTTAAAAGCACAACTATAATGATGTGGGAAAATACCCAAACAAAGCTGAATACCATACATATAAATACCCATGAAAACTTAAGAAAACGTGTGTGTGTGTGTGTGTGTGTGTGTGTGTATGTATATGTATATATTTATGAATTTCTTTCAGATTGGCCCTTTTGTTAGAATGATCCTTTAGTTCTTCCCAGAAAATATGGTCACTGTATACTATAAGATAGCAATAGCAATAGCACTTAGACTTATATCCTGCTTTACAGTGCTTTACAGCCTTCTCTAAGCAGTTTTCAGAGCCAGAATACAGAGCCAGTATTGCCCCCAGCAATTTGGCTCTCCATTTTACCCACCTTGGAAGGACGGAAGTGTCAGGCTACAGAACTTTTCCCATTCAATCAACAAGAATGAACTTCTGAAAACGTGTCAAAAGGAATCCTTTATTGAGATGAGACAATTCATGGAGGGGGTCAAAAGCAGCGTCTAAGGTCTCTCAGGCATGCAGAGATAGATAAGGGAGTTTAAAACCCCTCCCCTTATCTTGATGTGTATTTAGTAAAACAAAGAGCCAACATGTTAATTCCCCCCCACCCCCTTTTTAGAACGATCTTTTACAGAGTTTCCCAGGACACATCTCACTGTGCAATTTTTATGGTCTCTTCATCTCCTGGCTGTCTCTCTCAGAGGTGATAGGTTCCGGCCATCTGGGTTTCATCTCTCCATTGTATCATGTGTAGGTTATACAAATTCGATATAAGATTAAATATATTCAAGTTACATCAAGAAGGATATCTTTATCAGTCTTCCCCTCCCCCCCCCTTCTTCCATTGAAGAAATGACAGATATACGGATCTGACAGGAAGGCTAAGTCAACCTTGAGCCTGGTGGGATTTGAACTGCCAAATTGCAGTCAGCTGGGGTCAGCAGAAATAGCCTGCTGTAGGCAGGGATTTGCGATCCTGCGCGATCCCTGCCGCGCTAGCCGCTTTGGTGCCTCCGATCCACGGATCTGGAGGTTAAGGCTGCCACGAAGAGGCAGCCGAAGATAGGGGGGAGCTGGTGAGGGGTTTGGGGGTGTTGCAGACCCCCTTCCCAGCCGGCAAAACCCCCCTCTCCCAAGACGGTCGAGCGGCGGTCTGTAATGGCCGCCTCAAAGAAGCCGGCAGCTGGGTAAGACTGAGCAGGAGGAAGAGAGGAGAAAGTTGTTAAGAGAAAGTTTTTGTGGCTGACCCAGGATTTTAAGAGGCGTTTAATCCTGAGAACTATGGTTTTCTGAATAATACTTCGTTTCCAGAGGAGGATTACAAGCGGCAAAATTGAGTGCTGAAAGGGAAAGTTCACTCTCCTTCCTTATGGAATCAGCAAATGGCCATTGAGAAACCTGTTGTTTTTTTATAAAAGGTAAAAACTTGGCTTCTTGTTATAAGTGGGAAGGAAGAGGACATATATATATATAAATTAATTGCAACAAGGCTTTAAAATATAGATTGGAGGTTTTTTCCTTTCCCTTTGATACCTCACCAGGAAGAGAAAGTGAGAACTTTGTGTTTTGTTTGGACTGATTGACTCTCTCTGGAACTTTGGGGAATTGCTCTAACTTTTGAAACATTTTGGTTGCTTTAAGAAGAAGAATAAAGAATGGCTTTATCTGTTGATGAACTTAGAGAATATGAAGAAAGAAAGGACGCTGTGAAAGAAGCCTTCCTCTTTTTAGAAATGGCGCTTGTTAATTATCAAATACAACAACAGCTGGAGGAAATGGAAGGAGAAGAAGAAGAAGAAGAAGACGCCATCTTCAATGAATCTAAAAATTTAGTTAAGAGAGAAAGGAGAAAGAAAGGAAGGAAAATGAAGGACTCAAGATTTAAAAAAATACTTAAGAAAGGAAAAAATAAGATGCAAAACCAATTCAATGTTAATGTTACTGAGCAAAAGGAGAAAGGAATACAACAGAGAGGGGCAGCTGGAGGTAAAAAGGTTAGGTGGGATAAGAAAGGGAGGGAAAAGCCACAAAGGTATAAAACAAGATGGGAAAAAAGCAATTTTTTTTAGGGATAAAGGGTAATGTATAATTTCTTTAAAAAAGAAGATTCTGCAAGGTACATAAGATGGTATGGTAGTATTTGTATTAGAAATAGAAAATTAGAATGTTATAAGAATTAACAAAAGACTAAAATATTGAAATGTTTAGTAATGATAGATTTTAAAATTTAATAAAAGATTAAAAGGAATGTTTAAAATATTGAGTTTAATTAAAAAGTTTAATTTACTGTTGTTTTGATCTTATTATAAACTCATTATTGTAGCACTTGTTTCTTGAAATAGACAATTGGAATGCTATAAGATTCAAAATTTAGATTTATTATTTAATTATATTAATTATTATGGACTTATTATTTTTTTCTTTAGAGGTTAGTAGGTTGAATGTACTAAGCAGAATCAGATTGGGTATTAGGTGTTATTTTAAATATTAATTTAGGGGGGGGGATAGAAAGGCATCATACCTTGATCAGTGATTACAGGAGAAATTCTTTTTTTTTTTACTTGCTATAGGGAATGAGATAAATGGATAATTTGGAAAGAATGGACAAAAAATATAAATACAATGATTTAAATTAAAATGAATTAAATAAAATAGAAATAAGAAGAGTGAAAAGCGGGGAGAAGTTATATAGAAGATATAGAATGGTAAATAAGATAGGTAATGGTATATAAGATGAGCACGAATTTAATTGAAGTCCATACAAAGAGAGGTAATCTGGGGCCAAACTACTTTCTTAAAAGAAGTTTTATATTTTTGTGTTTTGTGTGTCTATGTTTTCTTTGAGAATTAATAAAACCTCGGAGGAATGTTGGATGAGAATAATGTTAAACAAGACAGAGAGGAATGAAGATGATGATTATAAACTGGATAAATATAGAAAATTAATAATAATTAATGAAATTGAATACGAAAAGAGAAATAATGAGAAATTTGTTAAGAGATATCTATATGGTTATATTGAAATGGTGAAAAATAGAATTATGTTGTATAAAATAATATTTTATTTGACTTGTAAAATTAATAATGGAGAGGTTTTATGTATTTAATGGTTAACGATGGTTTGTTTGTTTTTAAAATCAATAAAATTTGTTTCAAAAAAAAAAAGAAAGAAATAGCCTGCTGTACTCCACTCTAACCATTGCGCCACTGAGGCTAAAGATAATTAAGAATTAACCACAAAGCAGCACCATTTTGGGAGCATCATCTAGTTCCCTTGTTCCCAAAGGTTTGCATGAAGACCTGGATTTTCACAGCTCTCAGGGTGCACACCAAATCAGGGATAGTGCTGGACACTATCATGGACAAGGCTGGAGAGCAAAGGCTTGCCGATGGTGTTCCCTTGGAGACGGGACCCTCACCCACTGCCTTGTGGCCCTTGACCCACTCCAGGGGGTCTTTCCTCCTTTCACTTGTTGCTATCTTTAAGCATCTTCGGTGGCTGGCCCAGTGGCAAGGATTGGTTCCTTCATATCCTCTGCTGTTTGGGGAGGGCTTTTCTTGTGCAAACTGCTGCATCCTCCGCATGCTTTGACTTCTTATTTCTTTCAAAAAGTTGGGCATGCTTCTCCCCTTTTGGGGGGATATTTGGAACCCCACAAATCCCAAATTGTCCACCTAACCAAAGTGGTCCCTATTTTTCTACTTGCATTTGTTACGTGCTTTCGAACTGGTAGGCTGGGACAAGTAACGGGAGCTCACTCCGTTACATGGCACTGGGGATTCGAACCACCGAACTGCCAACCTTTCTGATCGAGAAGCTCAGCATCTTAGCCACTGAGCCACCATGTCCCTCTAAGGTGAAGGCTTAATCTCTCCTCCTGCCCCCTGAGCTGGATCAAAGCCTGTTTCTCGGGCTTCTCTTTTGGATTCTTCCACTCCTAGCCAGGTGGCACAGAAGCAGCCAGAACGATTGTTTCACCCTTTGAATATTTGGATGATGTCCAATAATGTATTGTTAATATCCTCCCAATTGATAATCTGGGCATTGGGTGTTTGTGTGCCTCTTGTGTGTGTTCAATGTTCATATTATCTGTTGGGGAGGAAATTAACAATACATTATTGGACATCATCCAAATATTCAAAGGGTGCAATAGTATATAATATAGTTAAATTGGTCCTGTTTTGTTTTGTTTTTAACGGTGATAGAGGTAGGTTCCTGGGTAGGGGTACTCAGAGCATTTACTGCCAAAATCAGCTTGCCCTCGGAAGTCGTGGGAACTTCATCACTTGAAACTTTCAAGAAGAGATTGGGTTGCCATTTATCAGAAATGGTGTAGGGTCTCCTGTTGGACTAGATGACCTACAAGGTCCCTTCCAACTCTGATTATCTGTTATCTGTTAAAATTCATCTAAAGTGTGGATTTTTCGCACTGGCAGAACGTCGGCCTGGTAAGCAGCAGGAAGTTATGGCTCTCTGACATGTTGCCCTGCCTTTCCCTTCAGCCTCCAGGCCCCGGGCTCAATTACATCGTTCTGCTGACTTGCGTTGTCTGTCTGGTGACCTACTCCATGGCAGCTGTGATTGTGCACAAACTGGATCTGATCGACATCAGCCGTGTGGGGTCGATCCCTTTCTGTGGGAAGAACGGGCTGTACAGATACGAAATCTTGGTGAAGACAGGCTGGGGCAAAGGGTCAGGTGAGTATCTATGACCCCTCTTATCAACCACTTGGCTAGGCTTTGAGGAATGCAGGTGAGCCCCCCCTTGGGACTGAGGCTGGATTCTGTCCCCATATCGTGGGGGAGGGTGTTCCCTGGAGCCCCTTCCTTGCCTATCTCTTGAGCGGGGGTAGGGCTGTCTTTTTCTTAAAACCATAGAGTGCTTTGTCAATGCATGAGTCCTCTATTAAATAATATGTGCAAACCCAAGCAAAAAAAAAATGCAAAATCACTAGAAGAGGCTGTTGGGACGTACAGCTGTACCACTCCATCCATTTATTCCAGAATGGGCTCCCTTTTTCACAGCTGCAGGTCGTGCTCTGTGTTTCCAACCCATCAGAAGGCTGCAAGGACTTGGGCAGCGAGGTCATGGTGTAGCAATGGACCAAACCAAAGTCTTTTGACTTTTATTTTGTGTTTTTGCAACACCACTGCTGTAAACCAGATGTCACAGTCCACTCATAGACTGATAAGGACTTAGGAGGTGGTTTTTTGTAAACCTACTAACTTATTAGTGCAAACAGCCACTTCCTTGCTGGCTACTAAGACAGACTCCACCCGAATGAATTGGGGGATAAATTAATAATAAATACTGCCGCCCAATTCCCAGAAACTCTGGGTGGTTTCAAAACTGGGGTCAAAACTGGAAATAGTTTAGTTGCTAAAATCTTGACTCTATCCGTCTTAATAAATCTTGTTGAAGAAGAACTCTGAGATTCACATGTGAAAGAATTCCTGTGGGTTATGGTAACTGTGAGTCCTGCTTGATATGATGCCCTTTAGATCTGGGGTCTCCAACCTTGGCCACTTTAAGCCTGGCGGACTTCAACTCCCAGAATTCCCCAGCCAGCTTTGCTTCTGGGAGTTGAAGTCCGCCAGGCTTAAAGTGGCCAAGGTCAGAGACCCTGGATCTAGATTTTCTGCGTATAATGGCCAACCCTCGACTTTGACTTGGACTGCCTGGAGAAAGCTTCAGCTGCAATCTATCCGAAGGGCAGCGGACTGGAAAAAGTCCCTCCTCTCTCTAGCTCTCTATCCTAGATTGTCCAGTAAGCAAGGGCAGGAATGGAGAACATCTGGCAGCTGTTAAGGAACACAGGCATCCTTGGTAGGAAAACCTCCAGAACAAATATCCCCTCCCATTAGAACATTGGCAAGATAATGAATATTGGATCCGGTGCTCCTGTTTGGAGAGGCAACTGTCCCGGGCTCACACCAATGAGGCAGTGGCTGCTCCAAGGTCCCAGCAATCTGATCCTGCAGAGGAAGCGCCCCATAGAAAAGCAGATTCCTGAATTTGCCAAAGTTTAAAAAAAACAACACCCTCTGAAGCGTCTGGCGAATGGCTTCCTGGGGAGAAGGAATCCCTACACCCCCCTCTTTTCTTAAATTAGCCGAAGTGTCACCAACAGGCTTTGAGACAAGACCATCAGGCCCAAGATATAACAGAATAACAAAATAAATGAGTTGGAAGGGACCTTTGGAGGTCTTCTAGTTCAACCCCCGGCTCAAGCAGAAGACCCTGTACCCCAGTGATGGCAAACTTTTTTGTTGTGGTGTGCTGAAAGCGTGCGCATGCTGGCGCTCACAATGCAATGCGCCCTCCCCGCGCATGTGTGCGCAACACCTCCCTGCACCTCCCATGCCTCCCTTACCTGCACTGCGCACACGTGTGCCTCCCACCTGATTTTTGGCCCGTTTGAGGCCTTTTTCAGCCTCCTAGAGGCTTGAGAGAAGCCTCTGCAGCCTCAGGAGGCTGAAAAAGGGCCTTCCAGAAATACCAGAAGTGCCCATTTTCAGACTCCAGAGGGCCTCTGGTGCTCGGGGAAGGCCGTTTTCGCCCTCCCAGAGGCTTGAAAGAAATACCAAAAGTGCCCGTTTTTTGGCCTCCAAAGGCTGCAGAGGCTTCCCTTGAGCCCCCAGGAGGGTGAAAATGGCTCCCCTGGGACTCCAGAGACCCTCCGGAGGCTGAAAATGGGCACTTCCGGTATTTCCGGAAGGCCCGTTTTTCAGGCTGCAGAGGCTTCCCTCGAGCCTCTGGGGGGCTGAAAACTGCCTCAAACGGGCCAAAAATCAGCTGGGAGGCGCATGCATGTGCAGTGCAGGTAAGTTTGGCTGGGGCTCGCGTACCTGCACAAATGGCTCTGTGTGCCACCTGTGGCATGAGTGCCATAGGTTCACCATCACAGCTATACCCTATATCAATGATAGCAAACTTTTTCGGCACTGAGTGCCCAAACCAGAACACACATGCATGCGTGTGCCTGTGTGCATGCCAGACCGCCAGAAACCTGAAGATCCAGCTGTCCGGAGCGTGCATGCCTTTTTTTGGATGTTTTTCAGGTTGTTTTTCAGGCTATTTTTCACCAGAAACCAAAGAGCAGCTGGCGACGACTCGCCTGCGCATAGAGGGGGCTCTGTGTGCCACCTCTGGCATGCATGCCATAGGTTCGCCATCACAGCCCTATGTTGATAGATAGAATAGGTAGATAGATAGAATTCTTTATTGGCCAAGTGTGATGACCCAGGGTGGGATACAAAAGCAACTTTAATTCTTTCAACTTGGCCTCCAAGGTCCAATTATCATTGATTGGAGAAAAAACTCCCCCATGAACAGTTGTGAAAAGGAAGAAACTCTCTTCAAACTCAAAATACATATAAATTATAAATAGAAAAAAACAACACAAACCACACTGAAGCAATTAATGAGACAAGGCAGGATAATGGCTTGAAGATGTCCACAGATATCAAAATACACACACTGGGAAGGACGCCAGAACTCAGATAAGAACTGACAGACTAGAATTATTTCACACTTTGCTTCCAGCACTGGGCCATGCGCAGTTTGTCCTTTTAAACCGTCCTCCCAGTTGCAGCCCATGAAGGGGATCAGGGCCCTTTCCTCCTCGTAGACCACACCATTCACATTTCTCCCTTGTCCGCTCCTCCCTGCGTGCCCTAGGATGAAGAGGGGATGGGCCTGGGTCTTCCTCTGACTGCCCAGCCGGCCTGTGCCCTTCCCCAGTTTCCTCCACAACCTCCGGAGTCACACTCCCACTCCGTTGGCTGTTCCTCCTCTCCCTCGGAGTCAGATTCTAACAGGGGCATGACACCAAGTGTGATTGGACACACAAGGAATTGGTCTTGATGCAAATGCTCTCAGTGTCCATAAAAGAAAAGATACATCCATCAAGAGTCAAGAATCATCAGGTACAACACTTAATGATAGTCATAGGGTACAATAAGCAATCAAATCATACTAGGAAAGTCAATATAGATCGTAAGGATACAAGTGACAAATATATCATTCCAGACCAGTTGGCTGGCCAATCTGTTTTTAAAAGCCTCCAGAGATGAAGCAGTCACAACTTCTGAAGACACTGATCGATTTGTTCTCACTGTTTCTCTTTAATTCCAGGTTGTTTCTCTGCTTAATTAGTTTCCATCCATTGTTTCTTGTCCTACCTTCAGGTGCTTTGGAAAATAAGTTGCCTCTCATCTTTGTGGCAGCCCCTCAAATACTAGAATACTGCTATCATGTCTCCCCTCGTCCACCTTTTCACTAAACTACCCATATACAATTCCTGCAACCATTCTTCACGTGTCTTAGTCTCTGGGCCTTTAATCGTCTTAGTTGCTCTTCTCTGCAATCTTTCCAGGGTCTCAGCAACTTTTTTTATAATGTGGTAACCAAAACTGGATGCATTATTCCAAGTGTGGTCTTACTAAGGCTTTATAAAGCAGTGTTAATGCTTCACACATGATCTTGATTCTATCCCTCTATTAAAGCAGCCTAGAATTTGTTTCACACCAGCTTGGGGAGCATGTCTGGCAAATTTGAAAGCTTATTCATAGTTTTGTAACGTTCTGAAATGATTGTCCCATAGCTGTGGAATGGCTTGTTTCCCCCCTGAATAAACTATGCAGCTGCCAACAGCTGTTGTGATGGGAAATGAGACTTTCTATTGACTTTAGATTTTGGTTGGCAGAAGAAAAACATTAAATGGACTGCCATCTTACATCTGCTGTCAACAGCATTTGGGAATGATGTAAGCTCTTATTTTTTGTCTTTTTATTTTTTTAAAAAAAGATGTAAGCTCTTATGTTTTTTGTCTTAAAAAAAAAGCCCTAAACCCTTGTTGATTTCCTTGCAATATCCAAGGAGCAAACCTCAGGAGCAAATGGTTTTCCTTGTTCGCTGAAGTACTTTGAAAGGTTTCTCTGTAATGTTTAGTTACAGAACTAGGTTATGTGAATTATGGGGAGTCTTAGCTGGCAATAGAATACATATTATGCAGTTTAAATGTATGGGCGTGTACATACATGACATGTGCTTTGTATAATATTTACTCTTCTCCTAGTGATGGGGTAATTGGAATTGCACCAACATCTGTTCCACTCTAAAGATGCCAGGCAAATTTACTATCACCCAGGCCACCTCCTGGGACTTTATAAAGCAATTTGTCAGACCTGTCCCAGCTTGGGCATTTAGGAAAGAAAGACCCTTGACTCCATTTATAGCAAAAGGTATACCTTTACTAAAGCCAAATAGTTACAGCATAAGCAAAGCCAGAGTTTAGTTTACTTTATTGCCATTGCACCTCATACAACGAAATTAAACACCATCCTCAGTGCACATCATGACCATGAAAACAAACACAAACACACATCCTTCACACTCCACACATTGAACCAACCCCCCCCCCACACACCGCACCAACACTGCACTATACAGCAGAATTCAAAGGAGCAACTGCCCTGGGATAGAAGCTGTTTTTCAGCCTATTTGTCCTGGTTTTTATTATTCTGTACTGTCTGCCAGATGGTAATAGGTCAAAAAAAGGGGTGCCCAGGATGAGATGGACCTTTGAGAATTTTTTGAACTTTCTTAAGGCAGCAGGAGTTATAAAGCTCTTCCAAAGAGGGGAGAGGGCAACCTATGATCCTCTGGGTAAAGACATTAACACTCTGGAGTGCTTTCCTATCTGCCACTGTGCAATTGGCAAACCATACAGAGGTGCAGTAAGTTAAGATACTCTCTGTGGTGCAGCGGTAGAAGGTCACCAACAGTTTTTCATTCAGTTGTTGTTTCCTGAGAAGCCTCAGGTAGTATAATCTCTGCTGGGCCCTTTTGACCAGGGCTGCAATGTGAGCCCCACAGGTCAGGTCCTTTTTTATGCTAACACCCAGAAACTTAAAACTGGCCACTTGCTCCACTTGGTCTCCGTTGATAAGCAAGGGCTGGATGTCTGATCTGTTCATTCTATGGTCCACTATAAGCTCTCCTTGGTCTTATTGGTGTTGAGGATCAAGTTATTGTCTCCACACCACAAAAGCAACCGGTCCACCTCATCTCGCTAGGCAGACTCATTCCCCCCCCTCCCTGGAGATAAGTCCCACCTCTATTGTATCATCTGCAAATTTAGTAATAGTATTACTAGTCTGAGTGGGAATGCAAATGCACTAATTTTGCTCTGACTGATGAAGTTGCTTGGATGAGCAACGAGGCGTTTCAGACTAACAAAGTTTGGTCCAGTTGCCATGAGTCAACCTTTAGACTTTACACCGGAATGCTATTTTGGGATTTAGAAGTGAAAGCTGAAATAGATTCCCCTTCTGCTAAATTCCTTGATGTAAGTAATGTGCTGGCTGCTCAGCTTTCAACAACTCCAGGGATGCAGTTTCCACACCTGTTGTATATTTTGGGTTTTGTTTGTATGTTTATATAGGTGCATAAATAAATGATGTCGACATGAAAAGTATATGAAACAGTTAACATTTATTTATTATTTCCATCATCCTCTCCATCTGTTTGAAGGTCTTTGAACTGAAGTGGTAGAAATCAGGATGATTACAATATTTTCCATGGTGATGGTTTTGTGATTAGGATAGCAGTGCCCCAGCTGTGTTCCAACTGCCAGCTTCAAATTCTGATTCAAGTGGCAGATTTGGGACCCCTCTGTACGTTATAAGGTGCTCTGGTAAAGCTCTTGAGGCAGGACTTAGAGAATTGCAATTTAAGATGCCTTCCCCTCCTTCCCTCCCTCCTCTCCTTTCTTCCTTCCTTCCTTGCTTCCTCCTTGCCTCCCTCCCTTTTTCTTCCTTCCTTCATTTCTTCTTCCCATTCTTTCTTCCTCCCCCCTTGCTCCCTTGCTTTCTCCTTCCCTCCATCCCTTCCTTCTTCCATTCCTTCCATCCTTCTTTCCATCCCCCCTCCTTCCTTCCTTTCTTCCTCTCTCCCTCCCTCCTTTGCTTCCTTCCTCTCTTGCTTTTTTCCTTCCTTGCTACCTCCCTCCCTCCCTTCTTCCCTTCCTTCCTTGGTTCCTTTGTTTCTTCCTCCCTTCCTTCCTTGCTCCCTTCCTCCCTCCTTCCCTCCCTTCCTCCCTCCCTCCCTCCCTTCCTTCCATTTTTTTTCCAGGGACGACAGCCCATGTGGGGATCACTTTGTATGGGATGGATAGCAAATCCGGGCACAGACACCTGGATGATGAGAATGCCTTTCGCCGCAACAGTCTCGACATCTTCCAGATGGCCACAGAGCGGAACCTGGGCAGTGTGTGGAAGATCCGGATCTGGCATGACAATAAAGGTGAGTCAACACAACGGGGTGTTCAGGTTAGCTGGGCAGCTGAAGTACAGAATTTGTGGCTCAACATGAAATCAAGGGCAAGGAATCTCTGCTTTTCGTTGGTCTTCATTGGTCAAGAGAGCCGTGGTGGCACAGTGGTTAGAATTCAGTATTGCTAGCTAATTCTGCCGATTGTCAGCAGTTTGATCCTCACCAGTTCAAGGTTGACTCCCATCCTTCCGAGGTGGGTAAAATGAGGACCCAGATTGTTGGGGGCAAGAGGCTGACTCTGTAAACTGCTTGGAGAGGGCTGTAAAAGCACTGGGAAGTGGTAGATAAGTCTAAGTGCTATTGTTAATGCTGTTACTTTTGAACTTATAATGAATGATAAATGTTTGTCTCAAAGGGTTGTGTGTGTGTGTAGATTTTCGTCAATAAACATGTGTTCCATTGCTTTGCAGCCCATCTTTAATTTTGTCTCCCTCTCCTCCTTTTTCCCACACAACCTTTTTCCCTGCCAAGCCCCTCTAGACCAAGTTAACGAAGACAGTGTCTATGTTGGGGTGTCACGTGATGCCCAAACAAGTCCGCTAAGCCTTAACAGATTGACCTGGTTCACACAACCTGCTGAGAAATGGCTGGGTT